GTTATTCCTCTATTTTTTTCTACAGAATTAACAAAAATGAAAAACCCAAGAACAAAAATAAAGGTTGCAAGCTTACTAGAATAAGTAGCTCAAAATCAAAGAAAAAGAAATATAGAGGAATCACAGGATTGTTGCAAGTGAGAAAAAAGGAGATAGATCTAAGTTTTATAGGTAACAAAGAAAATAAAAATAAAAAAGTAGATCTGATACTTACCAAAGGATCGACGGAGTGGCACCGACTATGGCCATTGGCGAGGTAAGGAGAGATGAAAGGGTGATCGTCAATTGCGATGAGGAAAGGAGAAAAGGCACAAAAAATATTTTGTCTATTATTTGGAAAAACTTTAATCCAATCCCACCGTAACCCATGGGAGACGCAAGATAATTTTTATGCTTTCAGGTTTGGACAAAACAAAACTCTAGGTACATTTTATCTTTTGCATAGGTAGCACCAAACGTGGGTTGTTAAGTGATTGGATTAAATTTTATCCTATCCCATCACTAGTCCAGCGATCCAAACAAGTGGTGAAGGATTACCAACGGATTTCTCACACATGTAACAAGTTCAACTTTCAAATTAGGATTTAAATTTAAGTAGTAAGAGATTTTTGGAAAGAGTAAACAAATGAAGTTTAGGAATCTATGCGAGGGGTTGAATTTTTTTGGAATAAAAAATAAAAAGTCCGTTTGATTGTTTATCTTGGTTATTGCTGGCCAAAAATCTTTTTTGTTGTTTTTTTTTTTCTTTTTTCTTTTTTTTTTTTTGCCATCAACTTATATCTAATTAATTATAAATTAAGATTTACAAAATCAAAACTAAAGCTAAAATATTACACATCGCCTGAGGAAATTAAAAGAATTAAAAGTAATTGTAACTTTGGGTATACTTAAGATAAAATATACATGTTCCCTAAGTTTTTAGCAATAAATATTTAACTAGGTTCTTTTATGCGTAAAACAAAGTCTAAAAAACCCCCCAAAATTGCATTTTGTTAAAAAAAATTTAAAATTTAGAAATACAAATAGCAGTAAATGACAAATTTGAGAAAATGTAATAAAAATTTTTGAATTAGTGGTAAACCTCTCAGTTTTGTTTAACTATAGTTTCATCCTTAATTATCCTTTAGTATACATTCATTCATTATATATACGAAAAAAAAAAAGGGAAGTTGATGATATTTTAATTTTTGTGACAATATAGTTTATTAATTCAAGTTATAATAGCACTTGAATATGGTCTGATGCTCGAAAGTGTAAGGGGAAGGTTACTCCATTTCAAGAGTAAACCATATATCAAAATTTATAGATTGGTTTTTCATTTTGCCTTTCCACCAAACCTCTAATTACAGGCTAGGCATGTCGTATTAGATTCTTCTTCCAATGTGTTGACTATTTCTTCCTTTAAAAATACGTAGAAAGACAAACTAGGTCGGCGCAATCCTTTATAGAGTTGAATTTCTTACACGTTCAGCTCAAGGATTTACTTGAAATCAATGTTTTTATAGTTAAAAAAGGTGTTTAGTAGTTCAACTATAGTTAACTTCAAAATAATAATTATTAAGCTATAAATTAGTGATCCTTTCTCTGCTATGAAAGTGATTTTACTCTAAATTTATATTTATTAATTGTATTCATCTTTTGTTTTTTTGGTGGATTAAGTAATCTGAGCATTTTTTTGAAGAGAAAAATTATACAAGTATCTCTTTAATTTTGTAAAAGAGTTGTTTAATGTTGAAATTTAAAAGGATAATACAATTAGATTAATTGTATATTTAAATTAAAAATTTAATAAAGTGAAGTTATAATTCTAAATAAATGATCTAATTTAAAAGAGTTTGTTCTATAAGATTCTGATTAGATCAATCTAAGTAGGATTTATCTTATGAAAAAAGTAATCGTTTTAATTTGAATTCATTTAGGTTTCATTTGACAGCACTTTCAATGCTTTACTTTTTACTTTTTATTTTTTTTACTATTTTAAAAATATATAAAATGTTAATTAAAATAAATATCAAATATATGAAATATATTTTATATATATTTGGGATGTTAAAGAATAAAAAGACCTATAGTTGTAGCAACACGATAGCATTGTCAAAAAGACCTTTACCCTGTGTTTGGTTTGAGAGGAGGGGAAGGGAAAGTTTTTCAATTAATTAAATTATAATATTTTTTAAATATTGTAATATGATAAATCAAAAAATCTTCCCCTCCCCTCTATTCCCCTCAACTTGAACATACTGTATATTAGTCTTCAACTTTTGGTTAATAATAAGAAGTCCATGGATAATCAATCTTCTAATTTAAAATAAAAAATTTTTAAATCTCCAAATAAAATCATAATTTAAATTTTAATTAAAAAAAAGGGAGAAAAGATTAAGATAAATCAAAAAATCTTCCCCTCAACTTGAACATACTATATATTAGTCTTCAACTTTTGGTTAATAATAAGAAGTCAATGGATAATCAATATTCTAATTTAAAATAAAAAATTTTAAAATCTCCAAATAAAATCATAATTTAAATTTTAATTAAAAAAAAGGGAGAAAAGATTAAGATTTGCTATTATATAGAAGAGATATCTAGATACTAATAAAATTTTAGTCTCTTGTCAATATTTGGATTTTATTTTAATGTATTTTGGGCTTTAATGGCAAAAAAATTTAATAAGTCAATATTAAAGATAAGTTCTATAGATTTATTAATTTTAAATTTAAAAAGATAATCTAATGAGATTAATTGTGAATTGAACTGTATATTTGTGTTGAGAGAAATAGAAGGGAGGTGAGGGGAAGATTTTTGGACTAATCAAATTATAACATTTAATTTGATTGACTCAAAAATCCTACCCTCTTCTCCCCTCCACTCCCATTAATCTAAACATATTATAAGTTAAAATTTTAATAAAATGAAGTTTGAATTTTAAATAAATAACATAATCTAAAAGTTTTTTTTTTTTCATGTAAGATACAAATTAGATTTAAGTAAGATTTTTTAATTTTATTTATTTTGTAGATAAAGTAATAATTTTAATTTGAATTTATCTAATTTTTAATTTTTGGATAAATTAGATAATTTTTGGATAATAATGAAAAATAAATAAATAATCACCATTGTAATTTAAAAAAAAAAATATTTAAATTTCTAAATAAAATCAAAATTTTAAATTTAATTTAAAAATTAAAAGATTAAAATTAGTTGATAAATATAAAAATTACCTAAACATTAATAAATTTTTTTTAATTTCTAAATTTATTTTTTTAACATGAGAAAATTAAGAAAAAATTTTTTTTTCAAGTAATTAGTAGGAGTAAGATTCCCAACCAATTGAATTCAAAGTTTAAGATTTTGAGATGACTCACTTGATTCATTGTACTGGTTCAAATTTAATACATTTTAATGTTTAGTAACAATAACATTTAATAAGTAATATTGGCTAGAAAGTGCCTTCCCCGCCTAACAACGAGAGGTGGTTCTCCGTTCAAAAATTACAAAACCCTAGACACCGGACTTTTTATAATTATATATGGGGTCGTGCTATTCAAAAAGCAGATCCCCACCGTCTGGGATTATGCAAAGGGAACCCATTTCATTTTAAGGACCTTGAGGGATTAATGATTGGCCTGTGTCCCTGTGTCCCTGTGTCCCAATACGGCTGCTAGACTTGTGTGATCTGAAAGAATTGGGCTTTTTGTGTTGTGGACTACTTTTAAGGGCCATTGAGCCTTTTTCGGTTTCCCGTGTCAAAACGTCTTCTCAATTTCTCTTCCTAACCAACTCCAAAACATGAACTCGGAACAGAGAATCAATCGTGAGAAAGATGAAGGTCACTCTGATTTTGGTGTTTCGGCACACAAAGGCTGCCCTCGGAAAAAGGGTACACAAGCATTTCCTCATTTATCCATTCATTCATTCTTCTTCTTTGATTTCAGTGTTTGCACATTGCATTGCTGTTGTTCCCCGCATCAAATATTCCTTGCTTTCTTGCTGTTTCTCTTTCTGTTGTTGATAAATTAAGCTACATTTTGAAATCGTAGCCAAAGTAGTCTGGTTGAAATCGTTGTTTATTTAATTTCATTAAGGGTCGTGGTTGATTTCATCTTTGATGCATCAAGTTTAGTTTATTCTCTTATCATGAAATAATTTGAGTAGCAGACCGGTTTTTCCACGAAGAAAACCGATAACCTTAACAAAATGATATTGATTTCAGAAGAGAACGGATGGACTTCACTTGGTAGTAAAAAGACGCATGACATTTAGGTTGGTAGTGAGCGAATTTGATGTTTTTAAGTCAATCAAATGTGTACTGTAAATGGTGTAAAAGAAAGTGTAATTGGCGTTTTCCTTAGCTTTGCTTGGTGACTACCTCAAGGCACTAATCTAATGTTTAATGAAATGAAGTTTAGCACTTGCAATACTAATTTTTTATTTTGGACAGAATACATATCTCAGTATCTCACTTTCAGTTGAATCTATTATAATGTCCTTGAATAGTAGAATTACAACTATTGATATTAATGTGGTGCATTTTCAGTGTCTGGGGATACGTTTGACTTTCTTGAATATAAGGCCAAGTCTCTTTTGGATGGATTGTATGACCAAAATAGAGATGCAAAGAAGAGGTGTAATTGGCATTTACTGTCTCTTAGATTTGCTCTTTTTCGCTGGCTTATTTTTGGCAGCCAATTATTCTTGTTGCGCTCTTTTCTCTTTGGGGGCATCTATGATTGCCATAATTTTCAGCCTGTTCTTTTGTTGCAGGAAGTGGAAGCGGAAAGAAAATGAACCTGATGTTCCTGCCTTAAATGTGTCCTTTGCTGGTGAATTTGGGATTGGCATCGGACCTAAGGAGTTCTCTTTTGAAGAATTTGGGGATGGCATGGTACCTAGGGAGTTATCTTTTCACGAATTGTCCCTACAGCAACAAATAGTTTTGCAAATGAAGAGAATCTTGGTGAGGTGGGTCTTGAAGCAGTTTATAAATGTGTCTCTAACATATG